ACTTTTTTTACTGCCCCTTCTTAACCGGAGTTAAAAATTTGGCAGCCAGTTAGTTGGCCTGCATCTGCTGCTGTTTTCCCAGTTGCTGCTGGCCAGCTTTTTTTACTGCCCCTTCTTAAAATATCCGGAAAATAGAATTGTTAGAACAGAAGTATGCACTGGCTGACACTACTGCCCTTTTTGTTTCCTCGCTACGCGCCACCTCTCTATTGCCTTCGTTTTCTTCTTCCTTGTCCTGTGTCTCCTCATCCTCGCCTTTGTCCTCCTTGTCTGCTTCCTGTTTCTTCTCCTCCTCGTCTTTGTCTTCTTCCTTGTCTGCATCCTCTTCCTTTCTTGTTGATATTTTTGTCCTACTTCTCTTCGTCTTCATCCTCATCTTCGTCCTCGTCTTCGTCCTCGTCTTCGCCCTCGTCTTTGTCCTCGTCTTCGTCCTCGTCTTCGTCTTTGTCTTCGTCCTCGTCTTCGTCTTCGTCTTCGTCTTCGTCTTCGTCTTCGTCCTTTCTGGCAGATGTTTGACTGTGAACTGGCTTTTAAAATCCAGTCTTTCCATGACCACTACATACAGGGGAAAACCACAAAGGCTGTTGTGGTCCTGCTTCTGCTTGTCCTCGTCCTCTTGGCCTTATTGTTCTCTGTGTTCCACTTGTTGTTGTTGCTGTTGCTGCTTTGGTGTCAAGCCAGAAGGAAGGAAAATATGCTTTCACTTGTTCGCACGCGTATGCAGTCGATGAGGAGGGTGGGCACGCCTTTGGTGAAATCTCTCCAGCATAACCAGAATTCCAACCAAGTGGGAGGGGGGTTGTTCGATGCCTGGGTGGGTGGAGGAGATTGTGTGGGAAGGGCACAAAGTGGTGGCGGCGGCGGAGGTGGTGGCGCTCTGTTGCCATTGATCTTCTGTCGTTGGGCAACAAAAAAGGCCGCTGGGTCTACGCAAAATGGTAGAGACTCGCAGCCCAAGAATTTGGGTGTGAAGTTGTTTGGCGGTCAGAAGGCGATTCCTGGGAACATCATTGTGCGGCAGCGGGGGACGAGGTTCCATCCGGGCGACTTCGTTGGGATTGGTCGCGACCACACCCTCTTTGCTCTTGCCGAGGGACGCGTCCGCTTTCAGACCAACAAGCTCACAGGGCGAAAGTTTGTCCACGTCAATCCCACCGGAGGACCGCCGTTGCATCCGGAATTCGCCGACCTACAGCCATCGACGATGGCGGCGGCAGCTGAAGGGGATAACTCTGCTGGGACGGTGATCAAAACAACTCAGAAAAGAAACAGATTTAGGAAGAAGTGATGAGGAACATACGTTGAAAAGGGAAGAAACGACATGGGTTGCAGTGTGAAGAGGAAAGAAGAACTTGGGAGAGCTTTGCAAGGAGTAACGAATGGTCTCCTTCTTTCCCTCGATGGTGTCATGAAGAAGATGAGAGATACAGTGCCTCGATGCTGTGCAGCGTGATTATAACGAACGATAAGTGTGCAGGGCAGCACAGCAGGAGAGGCTCGCGAGCTCGAGGCTGAGCAGATCGAGTGAGGTTTGCAAGCACAACCCAGCGGCGTCCTTCTTTTCCTCAATGGTGTCAGGAAGATGAGAGATACAGTGCCTCGATGAAGTTAGCTTCATTATTTATAACAAGGGGGGTTAAGTGTGCACGGCAACACAGCAGGAGAGGCCCGGCAGATCGAGGCTCAGCAGATTGAGGGTCGGTGGATTGGGGGGCGGCAGATTGGGGTCAGCCGGTTGAGGGCCGGTGGATGGAAGGTCGGCGGATCGAGGGTCAGCAGATTGGGGATCGGCAGATTGGGGATTGGTGGCTTGGGGGTCAGCCCGTTGAGGCTGGGTGGATGGAAGGTTGGCAGATCGAGGGTCAGCAGATTGGGAATCGGCAGATTGAGGGTTGGTGGCTTGGGGGGTGGCAGATTGGGGGTCAGCCGGTTGAGGGCCGGTGGATGGAAGGTCGGCAGATCGAGGGTCAGCAGATTGGGGAGCGGCAGATTGAGGTTCGGTGGCTTGGGGGTTGACGGATCACGGGCCACTGGATTGAAGGGTTAAGAGGAGAGAAGGTCAGCGGATCGAGAGTTGACAGATTGGGGGTCGGCGGATTGAGGGTCGGCAGATGCAAACTGTAAGTGCAGGGGGAGGTGATGAATTGTTCTTCCCTGACCTAAAACTTTTCCCCAAAAGTGTATAGCTCGTGTATGGAATGCAGCGCAATTCACCTGCCAAATCAAAAAGATTTGCCGTCGCTTCCCCGCCAGCAAGGCCTGGCAAGTCCCACATCTGTGTGCCGAGGGGCTTGTACAACTTCGTCCCTCGCACCGACGCTCTGCGCTGACAAACTTCCCCGAGGGTTGGGGAGAGCTATGGGTTGAGATAAAGAAAGGGAAAAGCGGAGGGACGATGGTGTTGGGGAGGAGGGGGGGAGGGGGGGGGAAGCAGATTCGGCATAGGAAAACCAACCGTGCTGTCTTCAGTTTTCTGTTTTCCTTTGTGTCATGAATGAATGTTGGCAACCAACGGGTGTAGCTCAGTTGGTACACCCATGAACTGTTCAAAATACAGCCCCGAGCTCAAATCCGAAAATACAACCAGATGACCACAATAAAACGATTCTACCTGGGGTCAGTCAGTTCAATGATGATATCTCAAGGCCGTTGCCCTTTAAACCACCAGTACCTTTCTCAGCTATTGATGCCGAGCCTAGAAATGCCCTGCACGCCAATTTTTGCGGAGCCTGAAAGATACCAGCACCAGCACATGGAAAGAAGAGGGCGGTACTGTGAAACAGAGGTGCTGGACCTCCGGCCAGCTCACGAAATACAAAGGAGCTGTGTTTTCACTAGGGACAAGAAAAACTGGAAAAAAAAAAACGATTGAAAGAAGCTGACAGGCACCCCGCCCCTCACGGGGACCTTGTCCCACATGCACCGTTTAGTGGACCTAGCTCAACGGTGTGACAGCTGAAACTTCTTTTTTTTTAATTCAATTCAAATTCAGAAATGCATTACATAATCCGCCTAAGATGCAATTCATTTTTTTCCCTTTTTTTTCCACAATTGGAGTGGCATACGTGAGGTCCACAACCGAGAATGGAAACTTGCTGCCATTTGATATGCCCAGTCCGCCTTCACCACTCAGATTGTGAGATCCGACTCTCCACTTTCTTCCCCGAATACATGTGTGTGTGTGTGTGTGTGTGTGTGCGTGTGCGTGTGTGTGTGGGGGTTGTACCGCGGTCTGTAGCCCGAAATGAAGACAGTGAAGAGGATAACGAGCAAAGAAACAAAGACATATTGATCTGCACTTCCGTAACGGATGCTGGGTGTGTGAAGCTGCTACGATGCTACGCGCGCGCGAGCGAGCGAGCGAGCGAGCGAGAGAGAGAGATAGAGATAGATAGATAGATAGATAGATAGAGAGAGAGAGAGAGAGAGAGAGAGAGAGAGAGAGAGAGAGAGAGAGAGA